TGGCTTAACTGTCATAGACACCCAATAAAGTTCAGATTTAATGAATACATATGCTCACAGGTTCGCTTCACCTTCAGTTTTGGGTTTGTTAACTAAATCTAAAACCATAGAAAACATTCCTGTTACTTGAAAGAAAGTAAATGTTAATTGAAATCAAATAAAAACTTAAAATTATTCTATTTCAGCTAGTTACCAGGGCGACATTTCTCATTTTTGTTTAGTTTAACATGAAATACTAAAATAACTCAAACGAATATACTTAAGAATACATTATAGACATTAAAAAACTAATAAAAATGAAAAAACGTTTAATACTGAAAGTTTAAAGAAATGAAAATTTTGAAATAATATCTTACTCAAATGATTAACAGAGTCTGACAAATGATAGCAGTATCATCAGTAATATTTACCATCTTTTTTTGACTTATCGTTTGACCGGACTGCCAAAAGTTGACACAAACTGGATCAAAGATTTAAAAATATATATATTTTCAAAATGAATGCCACTTGCTGTATTAAACATACATTATGGCAGCATGGCATACTAATATTTGAAACATTTATTATTGCATACGGCTTACTGCTTCACATACAATTTTATTTGACCAATAGTAGGCAGTATATACTGTAGCCTAATTCCTCTTTCTCTTTCAGGTCGTTCAGATTTTCAGTGCTGCCTTCTGTATTCTTTCCACTTTCTCCTATACTTGTTTGACTTTCAGCTGTTCTGCGTCTATGACGGCTCCAATATGGTGTAGCCTTTTTGTAAGTGCTCCAGTTAACATTCCTGGTTCCCAAATTTGACAGTCAATAAATCAGAACAAAGCAATGATCAGTCTGACACGCTACTGTACAGTTACTAATTAGTTGTTTTCTGTGTTATATACATGTTTATGTCTCAGTTTCTAGCCACGGGGTCACTTGCAATTGATGTCCAAAGGAAACCCAAAAAATTCAAAGTAAGCTTATTTTATGTCTTTTTTAAATCCATGATTTTCCTTTTGTCTTCTTTTTGAACAGTATCTTTCTTAACTCCATAAACATCTTTCTGCGAAATACTTAGCTTGAAAAATGTGTTTGTGCTCTCTTACTTTGAAATGAATGTCACTTGGTTTGATATTTTGTTGTCTAATGCAGTGATGTTCAGATATTTGTGTCCAAATATATCATGTTAATAGGCTTCCTGCGTGCTTGTTTGAGTAAAGTGTGATCTCTGCTGTTGTAGGTCATGACTCTGATGGGCCTGAATATCTTCAGCTTACTGTTTGCAGTTTGTTCTTTTGTCACCTTCTTTATTAAATCCTCACTAATGGAAAAGGCCACCCCTCAGCAGGTGCGTGTACAGAGACACTCAATAAACTCAATAAATCACTAGAATTTACCAGTGAAATGAGATCATGGTCTCTCTCGCAGCGCATTGGTGTGTATGTGCTGAAGGGCAGTGGTTTCGTGTCCATCCTCCAGTGCATGTTAGCAGCCATATACATGCTCTTTCTGATTTGGAAAGGTATTAAGTCCTACAGCACCCTCTACAGACAGGACTACATCAGCGTAATGCAGGTACAACATTCACACATTCAAGCTCTAGAATATAGTTTTAGGAATGCAGTGATAATACAGGGTTTCTGCGAGTCTTAAAAAGCAAGTCTTAATTCACCAAATTCTACAAATTAAGGCCTAAAAAGGTCTTAAACAGTGTTGGGCTAGTTACTCAAAGAATGTAATATATTACTCATAGTGACATTCAAGTAGAAGTGTTGTATTCAACTCATTAATTGTCATGTGTAGCTTGAAGCGTTCATTATGTATTTTATCAAATCACACAAGTTTGTAAGAAACTGCCAAAGAGATTCCAAAAAGATTTTTTATTATATAATGTACCACATGCTGATCAGAGGGATGTGGGTGGGATGTAATGCCAGAGTAAAGTAAAGCCACACCTTACACAACAGTGTTCAGATCATCTTTTTTCCTGACAAAATCAATATAATGCAATATTTCTATCTGCTGAATGTAAGCTTTTCCATATTCCAATCTTGCCTGCTGCACTGGGGACATCACATGCATGTGCGAGTCGTGAAAATTATGAAAATAAATCTAGGAATTATTTGACTGTTGGATTTTAAATCAGCGGGGTTGACTAAGTAACTAGGCTGTTTTATGGATGGTAACTGTAATATTAGTACTGAAATCTTATTAGTAATTAGTTACACTACTAGTTACTGCAAAAAGTAATATTATTACAGTAACTAGTAACTGCCCAACACTGGTCTTAAATCAGGGAAGAAAGTCTTAAATTCAAAAAGCCATGGCATTAAATGTTGAATGCATTACTACTAATGAATATATTCCTCAGTATTTTTTTGTTTTCCAGTACAAATGTATAAACATTCTTAAATCAGTATGCATTTGAGATGCAACATAAAACTTTCTAAGAAATTGAATACAATTGAGTGTATGCTTAAAACAAGATCAAATGTGTTTTAAAATATAAAAACTTATTTTTGCTTTGAATTAATTTGAATGTTTTGAGCAGATTGGCAGAATTTCTCAGAAAATAAGATTTCTTATCTTATGTGTAAATGTACCTTGATTCATGAATCTTCACACATTTGCACTGGAATACAGGACAAAAATACAGATGAAGATCAGTGTGATCATTTCGTTTTATAGCTAAGCTATTTTTTGGTCAATTAAAAGAAAAAGTACTGATGGATATGTTGGAACTTGTATTTTCAATTTCAAAATTTGTGTTGCTAATACAACTCATTCTGTTCTCCCTGGACATTTACATTTAGAGAACATATTGAACTATTGTGTTCCCTAAAGTTTATTCCTTAATTTTTCTTTAAAAGTGGTCTTAAAAAATTTACCTACATTAAACATGCAGAAACCTTGTAATATTTATTATGTAGTTAATATAATATAGTTAAATCTGACTCCATTTTTCGTAGAAATCAGATGAGCATACAGATCCACTGCTGGAGAACGAACAGTTCAGCCTTTGAACAGTCGGTGGACGGTGTGTGGAATCAGGAAACTTATGCAAACAAATTTATGGCTTATTTTATTTTATCAAGAGAATAAATACATTTTAAAGCATTTACACCCAGGTTTACAATGACAAATAATAGTGATATTGCAAAAAACTGACTACATATTTCCGTTTGTGAAAATCCCAAACAATATATCAACATAATTTATATGTTACATTTAATGTATAATTTATATACATTCAATACATATGCATGTCATTTGTGAGGATAACATGGACACCATCAATGATTTTGTATATTTATGTACAATTATATGTGGTTATTAAATTGTCTTAAGATGTTCTTGTTGTGCCATGCTGAAAGTCAAAAAGACAACATTAGATTAAAATTGACCATGTTTACCTTTCTTAACAGTTGTTAAAGGGACAGTTCACCCAAGAATGAAAATGTGAATATTTTGAAGACATTTTGAAGAATGTATGTAACAGTTGCCGGTAGCCATAGACTTCCATACTTGTTTTTCCCATAATATGGAAGTCAATGGCTACCAGCAAAATGTCTTCTTCTGTGTTTAACAGAAGAAAGAAACTCTTAAAGGTTTGTAACCACTAGAGGGTGAGTAAATGATGACTGAATTTTCATTTTTTGGTGAACTATCCTTTTAAAGGGGTCATATGATGTTGCTAAAAATGTTGTGTATTTGGTGTAATGAAATGTGTTTATGCGGTTTAAGGTTAAAAAAACACATTATTTTCCACATACTGTACATTATTGTTTCTCCTCTATGCCCCGCCTTTCTGAAACGCATCGATTTTTACAAAGCTCATCGGTCTGAAAAGCGAGGTGTGCTCTGATTGGCCCTATACTCTCCCAGGATCAGGAATAAGTCCTCCATAAAATGTGCTGCACACATCTGAATATTTGGGTTGAACTGTTCTGGAACAGTGTTGTAAATACAACTTTAACCACTGATTTCTAGTCGTGTCCTCTTTTGGAAGACCAAACAAAGTAGTAGTTACGCTTTCACAACAAAACACATGGCGGCCTAGAGTGAGTGGCGGCGGCCTAGAGTGAGCAGAAGCCGGGGGCTAGAGTGAGCGGCGGGCAGGCTTGAGTGAGCAGAGGCGGGCGGGCTTGAGAACGGCGTGGCCGGCGGATTCGACGAAGAAGCGGCCGGCGGGCTTGTGGCAACTACATGTGACGACCCCGGGCTGGACTCCGCTTCGTTCACGGTGAAAGCGAGAATAAAAGTTACGCCTTCTTTTTTTTTTTGCGTGAACATTTGGGCGGCGTTATGCAAATCTTCCCACATCGTGACGTAGACATGTGGGGGTGTGTTAGAACGAGCCGTTTTAGGTAGGCGTGGCTGACTCATAACTTTTATAAAGAATATCTCTTTGGATTTGAGACTTTAGTCTTTGCAACTTTACAGATCTTCTTTATGCACCAAGAGCTTGTAACACTCCAAAGAGAAATGACAAATTGAAATCGCAGCATATGACCCCTTTAAGGGTCTTATGCACAATTCATTAGTGAACATTATTTTAAAGAGAAAAATAATTATGCAAATGATTGCATATTAAAAATGTAATAACTTTATCCTCTTCTGAAATGACTTTTCTGCATAGGCAGGGAAAAGTAAAATCAGTAATGTCATAACCTACTTTTCTACAATCAAATACCAATGGATTTGGTCCTAGTTTTCATTATTTCCTCATGAATATTCTGTTTTACTCAGGAATATGTTATTACAGAAGTTGCATTGTGAATGCTGTTTCGCGTTGTCTAATACAGTTTTTATTCCTTTAATATATCTTTGTACATCTTGCACGAGATACTGAAAATTAATGCGCTTCTGATTATTAAGGTGGCTGAAAGAGATGAGATTTTACCAGATCTACCTCAGACTTTCCCCACATACACACATATGCACAAACTTCACAAATGAAAGCAAACCACTGAATATTTATGTATACAAATGCTCACACACAAACACACACAGCTTCATTTCTTTATCAGTTCAGCATCTACGTCCTCTTCAGGTTTAAGGGCGTGCCATTGAGCGATGGGTCTTCTTGGATTGGCTAACATATCTGACCAATGGCGTTGCTCCGTTCCTGTGCTGTTCAGTCCTATGAGAACCTTTCCAATGGCATCATTCTTCCCAATTTTGTCATAGTCCAGGACTGTCACCACAACCTGAACTTTCTAAAAGGAGACAGAAGAATAGTCCAGAACCATTAAAGGGGTCATATGATGTTGCTAAAAAGAACATTATTTTGTGTATTTGGTGTAATGAAATGTGTTTATGCGGTTTAAGGTTAAAAAAACACATTATTTTCCACATACTGGTTCAGTTTCAGAAGACAGGCAGAAATGAAACTTCAACTCTACCTGGATCTGCTCAGATGGTACTTCAAAGCTAAATGATTCGTTGTAATACGGGTTCAGTGTGTTCTTCTTAATTGTGGTTTTCTTTTTCTTCAGTCTTTTGCCGTTCTGCATCAGGTGGATTTTTACATATGGGTCTGTAGAACAGATAAATAATGTCCGAATTACTATGGTGAAATGGCATTTCAGATCTGTATTTTGAAATGTGTCAGTATATAAGGTAACTTCACTTTTTCCACTCACCTGAGAGGCCACCCACATCCATTTTTTTGAGGTTTTTGGCCTCTAGAACGACAACAGTCAGCTTTCCAGCAGTCGGTACGTAGCGCAGAGACAAGCAAATATCACCTAACCGCTCATGCTGTTGAGTCAACAACGAAAAGTCAGGTATTATTTCACTGTCACATGCAGTAATTCATGATTACATATGGAAATGGAATAAATAGAAATAATTCTGTTTCATTTCTAAGGAAGTAGATATTTAAAATATTAAAAATTGATAGAGCATTATCAGTTGTTGAACATATGTTTTTCAATATGAGTTACTCATATACTTGCATAATAAATGTATATAATTTGTATATTTGCATGCATTATGTAAATATTAATATAATGTGTTAATGTCACTAATTTTTTACATTTTTACCTTTAACAATGTATTTAAGATCAGTATAACTAAGTGTAAATAAATAGTTAGCCTAAATAAGTGTATATACAGGTGCATCTCAATAAATTAGAATGTCATGGAAAAGTTCATTTATTTCAGTAATTCAACTCAAATTGTAAAACTCGTGTATTAAATAAATTCAATGCACACAGACTGAAGTAGACTTCTTATAAATTATAAACATATTTAAATATTACTGTTTGTTACATACATTTAAATATGTAAATATTAAAATAACATGGTTAATATGTCTGATGTGAATATATATTAATATTATTTTCAAATGTGTTATAATAAATAATCTGTAAAATTCTAATAAATATTATTATAGTTTTTATGTTTTATTGCAAAGCTCGCTTGTGTTGGGTCGCCGTGATTTTGCCAAGTAAGACATGTTCCTGGATCAACATCTTTTGATGATCCTGGATCAATATTAATGTCCAAAAATATAGACTTAACCCAATCCCTACCCCTAAACCTAACCCTACCCATAATTTATTCCTAAAAACAGTGGGAAATTTGATTAACAAGAGTGTAGAAGCACCTAACCCTGATTGTAAGCCTAAAACAGATATTTCCTGAAAAGTTATATCTCTATTCTGATTGGTTGATTGGAATGTTGTTCCAGGATCAACAAGGATGTTGATCCAGGAACATGTTGTACTTGGTGAAATCACGCTCACCCTTGTGTTGGACTAAAGAAATCCCATTGTTTGGGGTCATTCCAATTCGCCATGAATTCAACTATGCAATGTGACCTATTCAGTTCAGATTCAGACATGATCTTTCTGAGCCATGAAAAAGTTTCTGGCCCAACCCTGCATGTATTCAAGATTCCCTTCCTCACTTGTACCTCCTCTTTCTCTGCTTTCTGCAGATCTCTCCACTCCTCTGTAAGCTGACTGAAGTCCATTTTATTCATCTGCACCCTCACATCCCCAATAGCATCATGTTTGGAGAAACGGTCAAAGTCATACACTGTCATGACCAGCTTCTTTCCCCCGAGCTCTGCATATGGAACCTGCAGACAGAATATGAGAGTAGGCCTATCCATACATCTGACACACATTTTAATGCAGTTAAATGCATTATTGTCCCAATAGCACATTGTGAATTTGTATGCTGTGACCTCTATAACATTCTTGCCATGAAGGATTTTTAGTGCAAGTGGATTTTAAGTTGTACCTTAAAGGTGAAGTGCTCATTAAAAGTCGGATCTAGTGTTTTGCGGTGAACTTTTGTCTCAAACTTTTTCTTCTTGTCAGGGAGGAGGTAGACTTTAACATATGGATCCGAAGTGCCGCTCATATCCATAGCAGCAAGACCTTCTGCCTCAACCACACCTACAATTAACTGGACAAGAAAGAATATCATATTCATTAAAAATGATTCAGAATTTTAATTTTAAAATGAAGTTTTCCACATTACATTACAATAAAAGCCCTCTGGAGATAAAAAAAAAAACCCTGCCGAAGCAAGTTTATCTCGTTAATATGGATTTTAATGACTGGTCGCTGATTTGTATTCATACCGCGCTGTCAGTGAAGTTGTAGTCAAGGGTATAGTGAAGTTTTCCAAGTTTTGTAGCCTCTTTAGACTCAGAATCCTCTTCCTTGTGATCAGAATCAGTGCCGTGATGAACAGCCTGTAAATACAACCATCTAAATGCCAGTCATTACCATGGACATGCCCCACCAACATTATATATATATATATATATATAAACACATTTTCATTACTTGAAATCAAATGTTAACTAAAATAAAATTTAAAAAATTATAATTTTCATAGTTTAACTTGTACTAAAATTGAAAATTATATAGATTACAAAAATATAAATAATATTAAAATTAAAAAATTTTATTTTAAATTTAAATGAGCACAGAAAATATATATAAAAACCTAGTTTACCATTTTGGAGAGAAAAATATTGTGATAAAAGTCAATATTTTCATAGTTTAACGATGTACTAAAATAAAGCAATAATCCCTGTGAAGCCGTGGTTTACAGTGAATTTATAACAGCTAAGGGGCGTTGTTAGGTATGACGTGAAGCAGAAAACCTCTTAGCTCTTATAAATTCACTGTAAACCACGGCTTCACGGGGATTATTGCTTTTATAAAAGGTTATT